GAAAGAGGAAGGAAGGAAAAGGAAGGAGGGAGGGAGGAAAAGGAAGGCGGGAGGAAGGAAGGAAAAGGAAGGAGGGAGGGAGGAACGAAGGAAGGAGGAAGGAAAAGGAAGTTGGAAGGAAGGAAGGAAGGAAAAGGAGGAAAGAAGGAAAAGGAAGGAAGAGGAAGGAACGAAGGAAGGAAAAGGAAGGAGGGAGGAAGGAAGGAAAAGGAAGGCGGGAGGAAGGAAGGAAAAGGAAGGTGGGAGGGAGGGAGGAGAAGGAAGGAAGGAAAAGGAAGGAGGGAGGGAGGGAGGAAGGCGGAAGGAAGGAAGGAAGGAAGAGGAAGGAAGGAAGGAAAAGGAAGGCGGGAGGGAGGGAGGAAGAAAGGAAGGAAAAGAAGGAAGGAATTAAACTTTCCTCTCTGCAGAGGGTTGCAGTTCTTAAAGTGCTCGTGTGTGCAGAAACTGGAAGATGCTGGTAGTAACTGTCCCAATAGATCCCTGCAAAGACCTCACAGGGATGGGATGTCCTCTTGCATGCAGAGGCCTTATATTCCAGCTGGTTTTAATCAATCAGAATAGAATTGGAAGGGACTTGGGAGGTCATCTAATCCAGCCCCCTGGCCGGCCGACCGTGAGCGCAGCTGGGTGGCTGCGTGTTGGGAGTTGCATTCTAGGGATCGCACCGTGCAAAAGGGGGGGGGGCGCTTGGGGGGGGGGGTGTCCTGGGGGGGGGGAGGCTAGAAGACCCCCCAGGTCCCCCCCAAAAAAAGTGCTCCCCCCCCAAACCCCCCCCCCCCCCCCCAGGCAGGACAAGAAACAACGGGTGGAAACTCATCATGGAGAGAGAAGCAACCTGGAATTAAGGAGAAACTTTCCAACTGTGAGGACAATTAACCAGTGGAACTGCTGGCCACCAGAAGTTGTGGGTGCTTCATCCCTGGAAGTTTTTGAAGAAGAGACAGGAGAGTTCACTTGTCCAAAAGGGCCTAGACCACCCGGGTCTCCTGCTTGAGCAAGGGGCTGGACTAGAAGACCTCCAAGGTCCCTTCCAACTAAATTCCGAATCCAGTCGTCTAGTTTTAAGACTTGTGGAGTTCACGGCTGGCTGGGGAATTTGGTGACCAATTCAGAATAGAGCTTGGAAGGGACCTTGGAGGTCATCTAGTCGAACCCTCCCGGGCTCAAACAGGGGTCCCCATACCATTTCAGTCAAGTGGCTGTACAGTCTCTTCTTAAAAACCTCCAGGGATGAAGCACCCACAACTTCTAGTGGCAAGCAGTCCCACTGGTTCATTGTCCTCACTGCTAGGAAGTTTAATTTAATTCCAAGTTGCTTCTTTAATTCCAAGTTGCTTCTCTCCTTAACTAGTTCCCATCCCTTGTTTCCTGTCCTGCTTAGGAAAACAGGTTGATCCTCTCATGTTTGTAGCAGCCCCTCAAGAGTAGCCAAACCGAAATCCTGCCACCGTTTTTCCTACGTTTTAGCCTCCAGGCCTTTGCTCGTCTTAGTTGCTCTTCTCTGCACTTTCTCCAAAGTCTCAACTTCCTTTTTTTCCCCCCGTAATGTGGTGACCAAAACTGGATGCCGTACTCCAGGCGTGGCCTTACTAGGGCTTTCCGGGCGATTCTAATACCTCACGATGGATTTGGATTCAGTGCCTCGGATCGTGCAACCAAGCGCCCCGCCATGAGTGGCTTGATCTGAGTTTCTGACTCATGACAAGCCGTCTCACCGGTTAAGCCCCGTCCGATCCTTTTTTATTGCTGTGGGGAAAGATTACCGCACCTGAGGACACTTTCACCTGCTTAGTTTAACCCTTGCTGAGCCCCGGGGAAATTTACAGGTTTTCATGGGCAACTGTTTCTGTCCTGACTCATTGTGGTTGGGAAAGGAATCTAAAATGAAAAGAACACTGGATCCTTGTAGGAGGGCTGAGTAGCCAGGGTGAATGTGGCCAGGTCGACATCACTTGTGTTGGGGGCACCTGTGGGGGCCAAGTGCTAAGGCAGGACTCCCCTCGGACCCTCCCTCACATTATAATCTCCCTCCCTCCCATCTCCTTCCTTCTCTCCCTCCTCCCTCCCTCTCTTCTTCCCATCCCTCCTTCCTTCCCTCTCTACTTTTTCTCTCCCTCTTAATTCTCCCTTCCTTCCTTCCTTCCTTCCTTTTCCTCCCTCCCTACTTTTTCTTTCCCTCTTAATTCTCCCTCCCTACCTTCCTTCCTTCCTTCCTTCCTTCCTCCCTCCCCTCCCTCCCTCCCATCTCCCTCTCTTTCCATCTGTCTTTCCCTCTTAATTCTCCCTTCTTCCTTCCTTCCTTCCTTCCTCCCCTCCCCTCCCCTCCCTCTTTTCTTCCCATCTGTCCTTCCTTCTTTCCCTACTTTTTCTTTCCCTCTTAATTCTCCCTTTTCCTCCCTCCCATCTCCCTTCCTTCCTCCTTCCCTCCCTCCTCCCTCCCTCTCTTCTTCCCATCTGTCCTTCCTTCCCTCCCTCCTTTTTCTTTCCCTCCTAATTCTCCCTTCTCCTCCCTCCCTCCCTTTCGCTGGCAGAGGCACCACGGGCCAGATCTGAGCACCCCGTGGGCCGAATCCAGCCTGTGGTCTTTGAGTTTGACACTCCTAGGCTAGACTACAGCTCCCTGTCAATCAAAGTGACGTCCTTGTTGTTATGGACGCTGGATCTTTTCACGATGGAGTCGTTCTGTTCTCAGAAAGTGTTTCCTCGCACCCACTATAAGCGGAGAATATCCCCTATCCCTTTCAGCATCCCAGCGTTTTTGAACATACGGGATCAAATACTGCAGGAAGTTGTCTTTTCTAAAACCACAAAGGCTCAGAATTTGGGGCTGAATTTGGGGACGCGGCGGCTCAGTGCCTAAGACGCTGAGTTTGTCGATCAGAGAGGTTGGCAGTCCGGCGGTTCGAATCCTTAGCGCCGCGTCACGGAGCGAGATCCCGTTCCTTGTCCCAGCGGCTTCTGCCAACGTAGCCGGTCGAAAGCACGGAAAAATGCAAGAAGAAAAACAGAGACCCCCCTTTGGTGGGAAGGGGACAGCGCTCCATGCGCCTTCGAAGGCGTTTAGTCCCGCCGGCCACATGACCACGGAGACATTTTCCGACAGCGCTGGCTCTTCTTCGGCTCGGTAACACAGATGAGCAGCGCCCCCTAGAGCATAGGTGCGAGGGGAACATTTACCTTTACACTAGATTGATAGACAATAACAGTATTCCCAGCCAATTGTCTTGTAATGTTTTGTCTATAAACAGACTTTATTTGGGGGTGGTGTGTGTGTGTGTGTGTGAAAGAAAGAAGATCAGGACATGGTGTGGCCTTTGTCATGAATCCACTGGGATCTCTCTCTCTCTCTCTTTTTCCAGGCTGTGAAACTCACCAGTTCGCGCACGCAGTTACCTTATGAATATTACTCCTTGCCCTTCTGTCGGCCGGTCAAGATCAAATATAAAGCCGAAAATTTAGGTAATGCCCCAATCCTCCTCCTCCCCAGGGGAGCCTTCCACCTGCCCACATTCTACACGTGCTGGTTTTGGCGGTCCCAAAGATTGACACCTCCACGGGTCTGATCTCCAGCACCTCTTAGCAATAGCCCTTAGACTTACATACCACTTCACAGTGCTTCACGACCCTCTCTGAGCGGTTTACAGAGTTCGCCTCTTGCCCCCCAACTATCTGGGTCCTCGTTTTACCCACCTCGGAAGGACGGAAAGCTGAGTCAGACTTGAGCCAGTCAGGATCGAACTGCTGCTGGCAGTCGACAGAATGAGCCTGACATACCGGCTTTTAACCATTGCACCACCAGATATAGAATAGGTGATGATGATAGATAGGTGGGTGGGTGGGTAGGTAGGTGGGTAGATAAGAGATAGATAGATGGGTAGATAGGTAGATGGATGGATTAGATAGGTAGGTAGGTAGATAGGTAAGAGGTAGATGGGTAGGTAGATGGATGGATAGATAGACAGACAGACGGGTAGATGGGTAGATGGGTAGATAGATGGGTAGGTTGACGG